TTTAAATTCAGCAAAAGATCACAGAATATTCTATGCATACTTCTAGAATTCTTCCCTTGTATACCTTCTTTTCTTATACTTCACTCCTCAGTTTTCAGCCACCTCTACCTCCCTGAAATTTGATCTCTGCTTCTTTATTTTTTTTTAAATTAATGTTTATTTTTGAGAGAGAGACAGAGTGCAGGCAGGAGAGAGACAGAAAGAGAGAGGACACAGAAGCCAAAGCAGGCTCCAGGTTCTGAGCTGTCAGCACAGAGCCCCATGGAGGGCTCAAACTCACGAACCAGGAGATCATGACCTGAGCCTAAGTTGGACACTCAACCGAATGGGCCACCAGGTGCCCCATGATCTCTGCCTCTTTAGGTAGAACACCATTCTGTAGTTGGGATTCTCCTCCCTGTACCATGGGTTAGAAAGCATCTAAAAAGAGAGCCACAAACATCGTAACTCACCATGTTTGTTCACCTTCTCTGGATATCAGGATAATAGTCTTGGAATGATGATGGTTGCCCAATATCTGAAAACGATTGTTTCAAATGTTTTGCCATTTTTCTGGTTGTTTAAGGTAGGAAGGTAAGTCTCATCTTGATTTTCCTGGGAAGCATAATTGCTTTCTTTAGTTTTTAGTGATATTTATATATTGAAAGATTAACAGTAAGGCTTACCAAAAAAAGGTTGTTTTCTTTTAGTATTACTAGATTTTCATTTAAATGCAAGGATTTATGCAAAAATATGCTTGATTAAATGGTGTTGCTTAAACATTTTTGCTTTAATACCTTCTAAAATAATTTTGTGAAAGTATATATATGTGTATATATATATATGTGTGTGTGTATTCACACACACACATATATATATATATATATATACACATATATGTTTGCACATTTCCAAGTTAAGATTTAAATGCTATCAAATGTTGAAATACTTTTTGTAAGACATATGGAGATATGATATCTAGTATATTACAAAAATTGACATTGAGACAATCTCCCACTATTTTACATGTTTAATATCTTAATAAATGTCACAGCAATTTAATGTCCTCTATAATCTGTTCTTTAAAATATACATACTAGCTCCTTTTTAACTTAATTTCCACCAAGAATTACTTTGTCATTATGTACAATATTTTTAGTCTTAAATTATTATTAGCTTCTGTATTATACCTCTCTGTCACAATAATAGGCATTGAAATCACAAGTTGTATCACTAGGATACAGTGTTCAAAATTTCAAAAAGTGTTTTATTCTACATATTATTATGATTATTGCTATTATCTTAAATATCAACCCTACCAGCACATATTACACACATTGTTAGGTAATTATTAAATTTTAAAGTGAAGGTTTTTATGAAATGAATTTTTTTATGGATAGGGCCTTTTTCTTTTCTTTTCTTTTAGCTAGTATATCCTTATATCCTAGGATGAATATATTTTATTGCTAGAATAAGATAGATTTCAACACCTATTAGCTACCCACTTTTCATTTTTGTAGATCTAAGCTCTGAGGAACCATGTACTCATAAATAAGAAAAATGGATGAAGGGAGTTTTGTTTTCATCATGTCATACAATTCCTTGTAAACCTTCGGAGTTACATGCCAAAAATGACATGGTGATTTATCATTAAAAGTTATTTTTGGTGATCCATAGTTGATTATAGTCTACTACAATGTTCTTATTGCAAAGAATTTGAAGCCATCTGATGTGAAAAAAAGTTTGTTAATCAGTAGTGTCTCATTTTCATTAGTGTCATAATACCCATATTTGGAATATTTTGAATTGTTCCTTTCTCCAGCTCTCTAAAGGTGTGAACACCATGAGTTATGAACAAAAGAAAGATTCAAATTTTCTTTATAAAGCAGAAAAATAGCTATTAATTCCTTGGCTATAGGCACTTTCTGAGGTAGCTGACTCTTAAAGAAAGAACATAGATTGAAGCTAAAGATCTGGAAATTTGCCCCAGTTTTTCTAAGCTATACATGTCCATGTATTTCTTGGAAAATCTTTGTGTACCCCCTGTGGTCACAGATCCAAGTTGGAAGATGACAGCCCTAGATGACTGGTTGTGGGTATCTGCCATGACTAGTTCTAGACATTGTGTAATATAGACTATAAGATGTACAATTCTGCCTTCTATAAGACTATACTTTATTGGAAATGCAAGATTACACACTTAACCTGTATATAAATGTACAAGTTTGTTTTTACATATGAGGAAAATGAACCTCATAAAGGTGAGGTAGTATGCCCAGTTTCACAGGTAGTAGTAAGGTGGTGGACCTGGAACTCAAACCTGGACTCCTGTTATTCCAAAGTCCATGTTCCTTTTACAAGCACTGCCTCCCAAATGGCCAGAAAAAAAAATTTAACAAACTTCATATATGGAAGCTACTCGGTGAATATGTATTCTTTTGAAGTCTACCTAAAGAAAGAGAAAGAGATGGAAAAATAGGATGGAAAAATGAGGAATATTTATATAATTTATAAATTTATAAACAAAGGCCCTGGTAAGCTGGGGAAGAGCACAAAGAAGTTGGAAAAGCCTAATGTACATTGTAAAGGAGAGGAGAAACAGAAACAGCTAGATGGTGAGTCTACTTGGAAAGCATACAAAGTTACAAGTTGCTATGGAGTCAGGCATGGAAAAATCTTAAAATGATGATTCTATTCTTGAAAATTAGGAGTCACTGATGAGTTTCGAACAGTGGACATGTTAAAAGTCATGTTTTAGGAAGTAGCAGGCTACAGCATAGTTTGAAAATGGTTTTGACAAGCCTACCTAAGTAGGCTGCTGTAATAATCCAGATATAAGTTTATAATGGAATAGACTAGAGTGTTAGCTGAGGAAATATAAGAAGAAGACAAATACAAGAGATAGTATGAAGAAGGAAATCACAGGCTGAGGGCTGGGGTAGATAATTCATGTCAGTAATAGTGAAATATTAGGCAAGAGTGATTGGCCTGGGCTGCATAGTGCTTTTAATGTAAGCTCAGGGACCTGGATATAAAAGGCAAGTGAAGGGCCAAAAATGTTTTTGAGCAAGAGAGTAAAAATGTTTACAGAATATTAGTAGTGAAATAAATATTTTATCTCATTCTAGAATAAAAATATTAGGATATAATTATAAAAACCTAAGGACCTAAAGTCTCAATTCCATAAATTATGAATTCCATTTCTCAAAGGGCAATGTTAAGTTACTTCTTTTTCATATTAGATTACAGCCAGATTAGCGTATTCCCACTTTATAATGTTTAAAAGAAAACTTAAGTAGAAATTCAGTGAGATTTTTGGATTGTTCTGGAAATGACTTCTATTAGGAGACAAAGAGGATGTACATAATATGGGCAAAGACACCTTCTCCAGAAAGTAAAGCTTTTTTAAGGAAGAGCTGCTATTCCCAACTATCACCACATATCATCTCTAGGAGAGCTGGCTGCTGGTGATAGTCCTTACTGAAAGGAGCAGAAGCCGACAGGAGTATTGGAAGAGAATTGGAAATGTATCTTCCAGGTCAGGGAAAGTACAAACGAAGGCTTTCAGGAGGGTTTGGAAAGAATTTATCTGTAACTCCCATGAGAGAATCAGAATTTGAAGGAAGGTGGTCTTGGGAAGACTGTAAAGGACTGGCTGTCTTCTTTCGTGTCCATTTGACTGAGAAAATTCATGCTAAACATGTGGGTTGCTTTCCTTTTCCCTCTCTCCCCCTTTCTCTGTCCCTCTTCTGTCTCCCATTCTCCCTCCCTCTTCTCTCTCTCTCATTTATTTTCACTTTCCAGTTCCTTCTCCCCCAACTAAAAAAAGTACAGACTTCAGATTGGCTAAACCCCTCCAAAAATAGATATCTAACTGGTGAATGGGATGGTAGTTTCCTCACAAAAGTGGAGTGAGGGGCTATATTATTCACCTCCTACACCCTACTGAAAGGAACTGTTGAAAATTCTCCACTGACCCAATGAATCATTATATCATTGATTGTTTCTTATTTCTGTTCATAAAGAGTTGTGGGAGAGGCAGTGATGTTTGGGGGTAGCAAAGCTAATTTGGTAGTGGAGTTAATTTGATTATCCTCCGAAGAAGACTGTAAAGGGATATGATCACTAAAATGCTAATGCTTTTTAAGTTTTTTGATGAATTTTTATTTAGATTTAAATTCAAACTTCCTAAACATTTTAGACTATCTAAAGAAAATTCCTATCTGTTCACATTCACTATTAAATTTTACATACCATTTTGTCATTCTTTTTATCTATCTACCTATCTACCTATCTATCTATCTACCTACCTACCTACCTACCTACCTACCTACCTACCAACCTACCTACCTATCGTCTATCTTTCTTTCTCCTGTCATTTGAAAGTTGGAAACAGTGAATCACATTGCCCATAAATACTGCAGTAGGTATTTTCTAAGACATCAGGTTATTTTTGGAATGTGCCAGCACCAGCATTTGTCCCTAATTTTCCGTTCTAGTGACAAAATCCAGAACAACTAAAAAAGTTCTACTCAATATCCAATCATAAAAATATTCCTTGAAACATATTTTCCTAGAAAGCAAACTGATAAGTAATAATGGGACACAGATTCTATTATCATTATATAATAACAACTACTTATCAGGATTTCAAAATACACTCAGCAAAGTCTTATTCATTTTATCTATAGTTTTTTTTTTCACCATACTTTTTAAACAATGTTATTTTTCACAATAAACTTATAATGGAGGCTCTACTTGAACAAAATGGCCACAAAATGTTAGCTCACTAAGGAAATCTAGACATTTTATTAGTTAACATTTAACTAATTATTAATGTATATCAATTTATAGTAGAAAGGATGAATGTTGTGTCCTATTAAGACAAAAAATCAAGTGCTAGGAATATGTACCAATTCTAGAAGAATATACAAAATAGATGTTTAAGCTCTTATGGAAAATATACATGTTGAGCTAGAAATTTGGGTTGTTTGATTTTATATTACCTTTACTTTATCCTATACTTCTTCAGAGGGTAGCACAGTAGATCATTATTCATGAACTCGAGAGTTAACTACTTGTTCACTTCTCTCCTGATGGCCCAATGTTCCTTTTCACTCCTCCCTTCTGTCCTTTGTCTTTTCCTAGTCAGGAAAGGCCTATGGAGGCCTTTGGTTCTAGCTGTCATAGGAGAGAGAACAACCAAGGATCAAACAGCTACAAAATTATCAGATCTTTGAAATAGCCCATGGTAAACCAATTGTAAACAACTTTCATGCTAAGTTCTTCTGGTTCTTTTCTCATCTTTGAGTATTTTTACTTTGACAATAAAAGAATATGGTTAATTTAGCACCTTGTATGTACCATTCACAGCTATGTTGTTTCATACAAAGTGCAATTTAATCTTTAAAATCATCCTCTGAGGGGTAATGTAATCAATAATCAAGAAGATATTGCTATTCAAAACTCCATGACTAGAATATAAGTAAGAATTTAGGAATTAGAATATGAGACTAGAATATAAAACATAATAAGATAATAGGAGATAAATAATATAAAATAATAAGAATAACTCTCTATTTGGGGCCCATCTTATAAAATACTCATTTTTTTCCATATTACTGTTGTGTTCACTTTGAGGAAAAAAAGTCCTTAGAAGTTGTTGGAGACACTTTTTGTTCTCCATGATCACTATTTTCTCTTTCTGCTGCCTAGAACAGGTAGTACGGCTCCAGCAACCATCTTGAATCATAAAGTCATTTTGAGAATAGCAATCTTGTGCTAAACATGGAAGGACAAGAAAAAAAGGATCCTTGGTCCTTGATGACATTTTGAAACTGCTATATCAGACTGGATTTGTCCTACCTTCAAATTTCTTTTATGCGAGATAGAAATACAACTCTTCCTTTTATAAGCCACTTTAATATCATTTTTGGTTTTCTCTTATACAGAAATTAAACCAGGTTCCAAAGTATAAGTAATTAAATATTCTATATATTCAGGTGCTTGTACTTTGTTTCACCATAAGCTCCATAGACACACTAGTGGCTCTTAAATAAGGCTCTTAAATAAGGCCTCTTAAATAGGGTAAGTTTTTTTTTTTTTTTTTGGTTTTAGATTGTGCTGACTACAATATAGGGGATAAATTATAAAAATATTGGAGGCAGAAAACCATGTTGGAGACGGCTATAGCCATCTAAGAAAAATATGATTAAAGTCAATCTAGGAAAGTTGTGGTTGGGATAGGGGAGAAATGAAGACATTGAATAAATACTTCAGATATAAAAATGTCAAGACTATAAGATTGATTGGAAGTAGGATGATGGGGAGGGAATGTGCAAGTACTACAAACTCATGTTTCTAAAACTGGTGGTGCAACCATTAGAGTTAGAGAACACTGAGAGTAGAAATGTCAGAGGGAAAGTTCAACTTTGCACATGTTGAGCTTGAGTTATTTATGTGAAAGCCAAATGGATCTGTGCAGGATGCAGCTGGATAAAAGGATTGTTGCTGTTCCTTACCAGAGGAATTCTGGCTGGTGTGTGTGTGTGTGTGTGTGTGTGTGTGTGTGTCATATAGAAAGCCAGAAAGCAAGCATATTGGTAATATAAAATAATTAAGTAGCTTAATGTATTATGTATCATGTGTATACCTGTGAGTCTTCTCAATCATGTGGCAACTTGTACTTTTGAACAGAATGGGGATCCCAAGTTAATTTCTAACAGACTCTTTTATTTTTGAAACTAACAGAGGTAAAAAAAAATTAAAGTCTAACCTGTAACTTTTTCAGGATTTTGAGGATTTTTATGCACATCTTTCTCCTTCCTTCAGTGTAGCTTTCAATGTGTCAATATAATTAACACTTTTCCAAAATAATTTTCTTGCTGTTNGAGAGAGAGAGAGAGAGAGAGAGAGAAAGAGAATGAAAATTATCAACCAGAGAAAAGACATAGTAAACAAATTAGTGAACAGATAATAAATTCCTGGGGAACTTCAAAATTTAGGGGTTGGTGGAAAAAAACAGGTATCCAAAGGAGACAGATAAGAAAAAGAGTGAGGAACACAGATATCTAAGAGTCATTCCGAGAAATGTCATTTGAGGAAAGAGTAACAGATTACTGGGCCAGCCAATGAGGAAGTTCCCATTACTGTAAATGGGAACAACATCAGTTGAATTGATAGATTAAAGAAAAACTACAGTATATTAAAAATGAATGGTGAGTGAGGATAGTTGACCATTCTTCAGAAAAGTTTAGGTGAAAAATAAAAGGAAACATTCAGTAATAGGGAGAGCAAAATCTAGGTTAGAAAATGATTAATTGACAGCTGATAAAAATATAAGAGACTTAAAGTGTCATTATCAAATGACTGATTAAGAGTGTTGGAGTAACACCTGTATCAAAATGATGATACCACATTCTAGGTCCTGATAAATTTTATATTGGCTTTAATTGTTCTAAAGAGGGAGCAGTAACTTAATACAAATTTCCATTTCTATGTAGTAACAAATTTCCAGTTCTATGTAGTAATGAGGTTATATAGGTATAAAATAATAAATAAGTTACTTTGGCTGGATTTTGCTATCAATCAAAGAATAATGCATTAAATCAAGAAGACAGGGAAGCAAATGATTGGCGCACCAATATCTTACCAGAATGCTGCAGGCAGTTAGGAAAATGACGCTCCAATCACATCTGTATTTTCTCAGTCAGCATACAGACCTGAGAATAGACTCTAAGTTAGTTACCATGAAACTAGCAAGCTCATGCAAATGTTGTAACTCACGTTTTTAAATTTCACCATTTCCCAAAGCAAGTTGACCCAATGATCTATATTTGGTGGTGATTTTTATTCCCAGATGTTGAAAACAGCTTCTTTGCTGGCAATCAGTCCTTGAGGATGCATTTTCCCTTAGCTTTAAATAGCATACTTGAGGGAATTGTACTACTCAAGATATAAAAAGATTAATAAGGATTTAAAATTGAATAACTCCAGTAATTCCATTAATGGATGTGCATATAAACTATTTCCTTGGTTAATATTATAGTGGCTTATTTATCACCACATTCCTAAGAGATAATTCTCTTCAGTTTGTGACCACAGGGTTTCAGTCATCATGAGGCGCTGAGGCCACACGCCTTATTTCTTGGCACAACACAAGCAACCTTGCATAAGTCTATGTGTGAGACTTTGGAAAGCCTATCCCCTTCGATCCCCTGTGTAAAGTCTCTTTTTAAAGACATCTGAATTTTATCTGTGTCTTTCTGGCTTTCATTGCGAATGTTTATTTAATTCAATGTGAGAGAATTGAACTCTCGACAAGGAGCATGATGAATTTTCTAATTCAAACTGGGTACCAAGAGGTGGCCTGTCATCATTTTCCTTTTGTTGTGCTGAAAAAAAAAAAAAAAAAAGCAAATGAGTCTCCTGAAGTCTCCCACTTCTGTTTCAAGTTTCCCCACCAAGTCATTAAACATTCTCTGGGTTTTGTCAACAGCCTGGTAAACATCCAGAGAAAGAATCAAAATAAGATCGTTTATTTAACATTCTTCTCCTCCAACTGCTGATTAGGATAAATAGTTTGGATAAAACTTCTATCTGATCCAACAATCACAAAAAGAAAACATTTAGCTATTAGTGAAGGTTAAATTGAGTTAGAAATACTTTAAACAGCAAAGAATTTTTTGCAAACTTTGACATTTTCTTTATCTTTAACTTATCTTGCTAAGACAATGTCAGAGCTGAACATTAATGTTGAATAACTACTGAATAAGCTCTTTAGAATTTAAGTCAAAATGTAGGCATTGATGTCCAGAACAAGGCATAGGCCAAAATGTCTCAAACTCAGTGCTCCATTTAAGTAACTAAAAGAAGTTGAGTCTAGCTATTTCCAAGAATTGCCTTTTCAGACTTTGAGTCTGATGTACTTATCTCTAGAGACTCTAATAACTTAGCCAAAAATGAAAAAAAAAATGTTTCTAATTATCGAAAAGACTTTTAGGCTTATAGATCACACGTAATGTTACAGTGCTTTGTTTTACATTACTGTGCAAACTTTTTCAAGAAAATATGTTGTAATTCTAAATAAAGATCTAGTGAAATACACTACTGAGTATGTAAAAATACATATTACCATCTTTAATGACCTATAATCAAGATCTTAATAGAGTAATTGTGATACAATAACTAAATTAATTCACAGATCAGATTTTTAACATTTCAATATTCTATCATAGTTCAGAAAATCTCCTCTGGCTTCTGCTCTTACTGATCTGCTTTATGCTCAGATTAAAATAATATAATTACAAGGTCTCCAAAATGCCATACACTTCAATGCACTTGTGTCTTTTCTCAGCCTGCTACTTAGAATGCTCTTTTTATTATTTAAGGCTGATTAGCATCTTATTATTCCTTCTAGAATGACCTCATATGTCACCATGGAATATTGTCTTTACTTGAAATAAAAATTAACAGATGAACTATGATTCTTTGGACTTGGGTACTGGGCAGAAACCTGGCACTTTGAGAAAAGCAACTGACAGTAATTGTGACAAAATTAGAGCTGTCAAAAGAAAATCAGAATTTTGGAAAATTTTTATCTACCGTGGGTTTTGTAGTTTCCTGGTATTTTAAACAATTTACTGATGAAATTGGTGAGGACATTAATTGATTGTGACTTTGATAATGTATAATGAAATATGTCAATGTTTGGAAGAGCTACATAAATCAGTGATCTGTTTTCCAAATGATGATGTATGAAGTTACAAAATTACACATAAGTAAAAGAGACATTTAAAGTGTAAGAAAAATTAGTGAATTTTAACAAAAAAGGGTAAAGAAAGTTGATTAGTATGCTTTCAGATCTTACATAACAACTAACTTTAACTATTCTTTGCCAGGTTTTGGTGTAGGATCAAGCAATATTTACAACTATCTGAAAATTCTCCTTCCCTTTCCAAATGCATATCTGTTGGAAAACAGATTTTCTTTATATACATCAACAACAACAAAGTAATGCCACAGATTGCTGGAAGAAAAATGTAAGAATCCAAGTGTCTTCAATTAAGACATCAAAGAGATTTCCAAGAGTAAAACAGTGACACTCTTGTCACCAAATCTTTGAATATACGGTTATTTTCCAGAATAACTGCCAGTAAGTGTGTTTTGATGTAGCAAGCATAAATTCCTCCATGAAAAATGTGATTGTAACTTATAAACTTTAACTAAAGTCAATTTCTGAACCCAAGTAAATTATTTGCCTGCTGTAGAAAAAAATATATATATTCTTGATAATCTCATTTAACTTGAAGGATTTCTTTATGATTATAGCTCCAGTACAATTATTTCAATCCCTTTCTTCCCATATAAATTCAGTGAAAAGAGAGAGTGGAGATGGGCTGTATAAGTAATACAATTCTCAGGGGCTAGGCCACTTCCTATTAACTTCTCAACCTTGACCTCAGGCCTACGCCACTTCCTGTACCACATATGCAGTACTGTGTCATCTGATGTTCTGCATAGCTGGGACTTGAAGTTCCCTTAAAGGTTTATAGTGGGTGCTGGGAAACTGTAATACAACGTGAAAAGAGAGATTAAAAGAATATCCATTAGAATTCTGAAATATCATCACCACATTGCTTTATGTATATACTTTCCATGTTGTTTCCCCACATTTGTTTTATAAACTTAATATACTAGAGATATGTTCTCATGTCATTAACTATTTCTCTAAATTATAATTTTTAAAGTTTGAATGTATTTCATCATATTTCATTCTGAGGACATATTATACTTGCTTTAAGATGTCTGTTGTTGAACACATAAATGTTTTCAATTTACTATTATTATGAACAATAAGTGAAAATCTTTTCATCTGTTCACCAAAATATATGTATTTTTTCATGATTATTTCCTTGGGACAAATTCTTTATAGGTGAATTATTGACTTAAAGACTCTATATATATACATATATATATATATTTACATTTTTTAATGTTTTATTTACTTCTGAGAGAGAGAGAGAGAGAGAGAGAGATTGTGAGCAGGGGAGGGTCAGAGATAGAGGGAGACACAGAATCTGAAGCAGTCTCCAGGCTCTGAGCTGGCTGTCAGCACAGAGCCCAACGCGGGGCTCGAACCCATGAACCATGAGATCATGACCTGGGCTGAAGTCAGACGCTTAACCGACTGAGCGACCCAGGCGCCCCAAGACTATCTATATTTTTAAAGTCTCAGGGTTTTTTTCCCTAATATTATTCCCTAGAATATTATGAAATTTACATTCTGCCAAGAACTGTAGGAATGAATATTATTTCATATAGAATGGTCATTCAGATATATTTTGTAAATATCCTATATACATTCATTGTCCATTTTATTACTTGCATCTTAGGCCTTTTGTTATTGTTTTAATTATTTGTACTATAACTCTGTGATGTTAATAATGCTTACCTATCTTTCTTTTCGTTGCATTTGTCTATCATTTTATTTTTAAACTTTGTCTGATTCTTTTATGACTGTCTTTTTAAAAGAAAAGATGCCAGATTTTTACTTTTTGTCAAATTTCAATAGAGAAATTTAACCTATTCACATATTTTTATAACTTGTATCTGTTTTTTTTTTTTAACAACTAGTATCCTCTTTGCTTTCTGTTTTTAATCTCTTTTAATAAGCTTTTCCCCTTCCTTTCTTTTGCTGTTTAGACCATGTTTTCTCTGCGCTTTTCTTTAGTATTATGGATACTTTATTCTTCTCCGAGGTATTCAGGTTTAATTGACAAATAGAATTGTAAGCTATTTAAAGTGTACCATCTAATGACGTGATCTATGTATATACACACTGTGAAAGGATTCCTCCCATTGAGGTTAACTAACAAATCCATCACCTCACTTATTTACCTTTTCTTTTTCTTAGTTATATTCTATTCTTAATGATATTAATTATAAAATACAGTGGTATCAACTATACTTGCCATGTTCCATACTAGATCCTTAGAACTTATTCATTTTATAACTGAAACCCTTTCAGTAGGTCTCTCTCTATTGCCTCCAGCTTCCAGCTCTGGGAACTCACTTTCCTGTTCTGTGTCTACAAGTTAGGCAGGTTTTTTTTTGGGGGGGGGGAGGGGGGCTTGGTCCGATTCCAAATGCAAGTGATAGTATACAGTATTTATCTTTCTCTGGCTGGCTTATTTCACTTCACATAAAGCGGGTTCATCTTTGCTGTCTCAAGTGACAGAATTTTCTTCTTTTTAAAGACTGAATAATATTCCATTGTATACACTTACCTCATTTTCTTGATCCATTCATCCACCAATGTATACTTAGATTAATTCCATAAAGTAGCTATTGAGAACAATGCTGCAAAGAACATGGTACTACAGATATCTTTTGATGATTTTGTTTCCTTTGGGATTGCTGGATCATGGGATGGCTGAAGCATGTGGCAGCTTTCTTTTTAATTTCTTGAGGAACCTCCATACTGTTTTCCATAGTGGCTGCACCAGTTTACATGCACACCAACAACGCACAGAGGTTTCTTTTTCTCTATATCTTCACCAGTCTTTGTTAGCTCTTGTCTTTTTGAAAATATCTACCTTAATGAGCAGGAGGTAGCATCTAATAGTAGTTTTGATTTTAATTTCCCTGATGATTAGTGATGTTGAACATTTTTTCATATACTGTAGGCTATCTGTATGTCATCAGTGGAAAAATGTCTCTT